TGGGACCCCAGGACTGGACCATAAGATTAGAAAAAGGCATTTGCAGACCATGTCTGCACTGTTACCAAGCAAACTAAAGATATATCCATAAAGTTACCAAAAGCTCAGCTCACCTCAAAGGAGATTTTTCCATCACCTAACCCTTTCCTTACCTACTCCACTTTCCCCAAATAAGATTCAACAAGTAGCTGGCAAGATGAGGATCAAACAAATGAATGCTAATCAGAGAGGGCTAATAATCTTTTTCTGGCTATCTGTTCCCACACAGCACATCAACCCTCACTCTATTGATTTCAGGGAGACCTGAACTTCATTCATGCCACTGCTGATTCTTGTCCCTCTTGCTGTTGTTGGATTGAGACAGTCATGAGAAGGCATTTGAAGGGCCCCCTGATTGGCTACCCCTCTGGGAACTCATAGGCTAGAAGTCCCTGAAAGAGTAGTTTTGTGGAGGGAAAATGGGCTTTTACAGCAAAGGTCTACTCCAAATCCTTGCTCAGCCACAATGCTGATTGGTTAGGAGCGGGTAGCTTGAATCAATCACTTTCTCGATCTCACTTGCACCCTAGTTGCCTTGGAGAATAATATGGGATGTCCCCATCAAAAATGCCCCAATCATTTTTAGATTCTTTGATCTTGGAAAGAATACTAATATAATTGATGTAACACCAGGAGCTCCAAGAATTCTAGAGATAAGGATATCTATACATCTTTTCCCCATAAGGTTATATATTCTTCCCAGCTCCTATTGTGGTTTTAGCCAGGGTTTCCCAACTTTTTCCTCTTCTTCTGCTCCTCAATAAGTAGACAGACCTACATTTTTGATTTTCAAGGCTCAGGATTAAAAGAATTCCTGATGACGACGACGATGACAACAGTCTGGCCCTTTAAAGCACATTTTGAGCCAACCAACCACAGCATTCATGTTTTCTTACAAGGGTTTCCTACCTTCTCACTCCTGCAACAACAGGGGCTAAACTTGGTATATATTCCACAGTGACTTTCATCTTGGGTCTGTGGGTCATCTCTTCTTCATTATCACCATTATCAAGAATTTTAAGTTAACTTCTTGTTCACAAGTTTCCACTTTCAGGACTCTTAGATAAGCTAACCCTCCTTTCAGCATTTTCTCTCCTGCATTCCTTGTTCTGATTTTCTCTAAAGCAGTGAACATTTCTTATAGCAAATACTGCAATCAGTACCCTCTAGAGCAGTGTTCCTCAACCTTGTCAACTTTAAGATGTGTGGACTTCACCTCCCAGAATTCCCCAGCCAGCTGGGGAATTCTGGGAGTTGAAGTCCCCACATCTTAAAGTTGACAAGGTTGAGGAACACTGCTCTAGATGTGTTGACAAAGAGATCTCCCACCCCAGTCAAAAGCTGTGCTGGCTGAGATTGATGGGACCTCTGGAGGTCTTCAAGGACAGAGAAGTAACTCTACACTATCAAACACCTTGTGCAAGAAACTCCATGGATAAGCCAGTTGCCTGCAATGCAACAGCTTTCTGAGAAAAGTATTATTTAAATAACTTCTTTTCCTCTATCAAGACACCAGGCAGCCAATTAATTTCACACTCATCTTGACATGCAGAAGATTAGTGAGGACCAAGAATGATCATCCCAACCTGCCAGTTTAGGTGAGTTACCAAAAACAGCAGAAGCAATAATATTCAACAATAAATATAAATATTTTTTTTCTATTCAATCATGTCTGGTTCTTGGAGATTGCCTGGACAAGTCCCTGCAGTTTTCTTGGCAAGGTTTTTCAGAAGTGGTTCACCATTGCCCTCTTGCTAGGCTGAGAGAAAGCGACTAGCCCAAGGCCACCCAGCTGGCTTTGTGCCCAAGGTGGGACTAGAACTAGCCTGATGCCTTGACCACTACACCAAACTGCCTCTCTAAAGATTAAATAAAACATCGAAAGTCACTAGCCCAGTGTAATGTGTGTGCTAAAAATAACAGGAAAGGTAAATGATGGATTCACAATGACTTGAGAAGCAGCAAATCTTAAACAATAGATGAATTTAACTAAGATAGCCAGATAGCTTGTAATGCTTCTTGGGGTTTGTGAAAGCTTTCATAATTTATCTCAAACACTTTAAGGAAAAAAGAAAAGACCCCATGGAAGAAGTTGTAAAATCAAGCTCACCAGGAAAGAAATTCTTTTTCAGTGCCTCAGCTAAGATTTGTGACTTCCAACAAAACTGCAGATGTTCAGTGAGATGGGAGAATAAGAAAGGAAGGGAGACAGAATGGAAGAGGCTTAAAAAAGGAAAAGACTCATATTGCAGTCTTTGATGACACTTGGTGGTTCCATGTAATGCTAAACCACCTCTCATCCCATAAGATAAAGAGATATATTCAGTGGTGACCCTGGGAGCAAGTTCACTCCAACACTCAGGAGGCTTGTTAAAAAGTTAGTGAGTCAATGTTGCAACTCATAGCAGCACACCTAGAGAGGTGACTTGAAGAAGAGAGGAGAATGGCCTCAATTTGCAGTGGACTTTCCCCATGGAATATGGCTTTGGCTGCTTGCTTGAGTCCTCTCTGGTGGCCACGCAGCCCAAGGCCAAGGGTAGAGTTCTCCATTTGAACTCTAGCTGCCAAAAATCTCAGCAAGTGAAAATTTCTTTGTTCTGCCAGGGTAACATTAAAACAAGGAAACTCTCATTTTATTAAGCATCCCAAATTCTTGTGATCAGTTTGGACCTTGATAGGGCATTGAGCAGGTGCTGGCAGTGCTGAAACTTTGATGGCCAAAAGTTCTTTGCATGAGAAAGGAGGTTGCCCTTAAATGCTGGTGCAAATAATAAAAATACAGCTCTCAAAGTGAAATAGAAGTATTGCCTCCTCAGCAAAGGGGTGAGTTGGACCTGGATGACGGGATAGACTAAGAAGTAAATGCATATTTGAGTAAAACAAGCAAATGATCAAACACAAACAAAATGGTTTGTTGACCATTGGAATGTCAACAGAACATCCAAGAAGGCCACTAAGTTTCTTAGTAAGACATGTCACTAGTGGGATTAGTGGAGCAAAATTAGAAACAAATTGATAGTAAACATGGGTAATTCCCAGAAAAAGCTGTATATTCCTGATAGCATGGAGGGGGGCTCCCAAAATAGATGGATTCTATTTTAGCTAGTTGCATTTCAATTCCGATCAAGGAACTATGTTAGCTGCAAGAGTCCCATATGAACAAGTCAAAGGTGAATTTCTCTGGCTTGGTGTAGGGGCAATAATGAGGAAGACATGGAAGAAGTCCCCAGAATTGTGCAATGTGTAGAGCAGAATCCTCAGAGTAAATTAACACATTGTCCAAATACCTAATCAAAAATTTACCCCACATATCATAAAAAAGATGATTAAGACATTGCAAGAACACCATTGGGGCATTGGTTGATCTATAGGACGCTACCGTATTTTCACACTCCCCATAATGAAAATTAGAAGCAGCTAAATACTTGTAACACTCTTTCAGGTAAATCAAATTGGAAGACTGCTGGAGATCTAACTTGGTAAAATGCATGTTCTAAGAGATCAGCATGGAGGAGAAGAGGACAGTGATCTCTAATGGTTACAGAGTTCAGGAACTGGTAGTTGCAGTGTATATCTTGGGAGACATCATTCATAACAAAAAAGATAGGAGACCAAGCAGGAGAGGAGGAGGGTCGAATGAAGATTTTCTGTAAGTTCTCATCAGTCAATTATTTTAGAGGAACCAACTATGTTTGACATGGGGTAGTGGTATTTAGTAGTGATATTTTGCAGAAATCTAAGCTCTTTGAATGAGATGGGTAGTACAATGAAAGGATTTATTCGTGAATGAATTCGTCCATAGGCCACATCACTCATAGCCAGCTCTAAGTGGCATAACAAACATTGAAATAGTATAAAAAGACAATGTTAACAATCCAAATCTTGATGCTCCATGAAAACATTCTTCTATTAAAGCAAACATGACTTGCAAGGGCAGCATCTACATCTGACTTTGCTGAATCCTATGAGGATTGGGGCTACTCTACAGAGAAAATGATGTTTCATAGGTTAGGAGTGGTGATCAAGAAAACCTTATTTTGGGGTCCTTAATGATGGCATTCTCATAAAGTAGGGACCCAAAGAGGAACTTCCTGCCCAATCTTACTGGGTTGGCAGATACTGCTGGCAGAAGATGGTCCCACAGATATCCAGATCTTGAGTTATGCACAGGACTTCCTAGTTGAAGAAAGGTGATAACTGGTTCATAAGATTGAGTTGTGCTAAGAGCCACTTGTCCACAGTTGCCACTTGGTCACTGAGCAAGAACTATGAGACCAGATGGATGCCCAGATTTCAATCCATATTTGAAAGAGCACAGCTCTATCCAGAACCAATGAATCCCAGACAAGTTGGCCTCTGAGTCCACAGCCATTCTGTATTGCACGGATTGAGCCTGGGTGTGTTCCTCCACATCTAGACACTAACAGCTTCCAGGCACTAGGACAGCACTTTGACCACACTGCCTTTTCAGGTCAGAGTTGAGATACACAAGTATCTGCTGGTGATATCTGACCTCATGTTTATGGATGTCCTCTTCCAGAGGCTTCACAGATATGTTAAATAGTAGAGGACACTTAGGTCCTGTGGAACTGCACAATGAAGGGTCTTCCAACTCAGTCTCTTCTCTCCCACCACCACCAAATACAACTGGCCCTGGAGGAAGGAGGAGGCCCACTGTAACACTGTACCCACACTTCACACCTTCAGAGATCCTTCAGAAGGATATCATGAATGAGGGTATCAAAGGCAGGTCAGAAACCAAAGAGGACTAGGAAGCTCACACTTTCCCCATTCTGGTCTTACTTCACATCATCCCAAAGAGCAATCAGTGCCATCTTAGTACTACAGCTCAGTCTGAATCCTCACTGAAAAGGGTTCTAATAACTCATTTTGTCCAGGGTTCTATGTAACTACAAGCCCTTCTACCTCCTCAATAACTTTTGCTGTTAAAGGCAGGTTTGAGACATATCACTAGTTCTCCAAACTAACCAAGTCAAGCAATGATTGCCTGAGCAGAGGGTACACCACTGCCTCAATCAAGGCCAGCAGCACCATCCTTTCTGTCAAGGATTCATTTGCTGCCACTGGGACCCAACTGCCTGTCAAGTCCTTGGAGACTTTCACCAGAATTGACGTGGGGCACAGTCTTCACTTTCCCTTTTCCAAAGGCTTCAACACAATCTGCAAATTTAACAGGTAAGGCAGCAGAGAACTTCTGTTCCGCTATGTTGCAGGATAGTGAGTGATGGGGGTTTGCAGCCCTGCAGGCTGTGAGTCTTGCATGCTGAGGGATCAAAAGTTATGATACTTTGGCCCCAATGAATATGTGGATTGAGACCGTGAAGCCAATCTATTCTCAAGATGCCTAGAAAAGGTTGTAAGCTAAACTACATTGCAGAAAGTTCTGATGATTGCTGATGTGGAATAGGAGACATTCAGTGCTCTCTATGATGATGCTGGAAGTAAAAGCAGCCCATGATTAATCTCAGCCTTAACAGAGATTGGATGAACTGAGAGGTAGGGCATATTTGCATGACACGAAGGTTTTAATAATGTTTACCACGACTCCAGAATCTACTGTAGTTTATAATTGTATTTCCGAGCCTGACCAAGTTTGGGTCAGTAGAAGAACAGAAATGACTGAACATTGATGAGTAGCTCATCATGTCTGAGCTCCTGGCTTCAATGTTCTTAGGCAGGGTGCTCTTTGCTGCTGTTTCTCCTTCTCTTTCTTTTTGATTTATAGAGAACAAAAAGCAAGTTTGTTTTATAGAATACAAGGATTCAAAGTAAAAGCTGGCCTCTTTTGGGAGCTTTGCCAACCAAGCAAACGTCTCCAACTCTGCCAAGCAGAGCATTATCTGACACTTTCCTAACCACCCTGCAGTTGAATGCTAAAGGCATAGACTAATTTCCTCCAATGGTGCCACTGTGTATGTAGGAAGCTTTTTTAACAACAACGATAACAACCGAAGATGAATTCTGTCTACTTAAGGCTCTCGGCATGGAGATAATCTTATCAGATGCTTTATTGAGCACTGCTAAACCAGACCAGCAGATAGAGAATTCTTATGAATTTTGCAGGGCAGTACAGCTTGTTTTATTTTGTAAGTTTTGAGCAATTGAGATGACCTTGCACTGGTTTTTATAGTAAGAAAAAGTTAACAAAATCTAACACATACATATTTAAACAATTTGATTATTTGAAATTGATAACTACCACACCATGAGGATTTTAACCAGGGCTCCATGTGAAACAGTAACTCTTCATTTATTTTGCACTTACCCTTTTATCATACCCAAACTTGTTGAAACAATTAAATCAATGTATTTTAAAATGGGGCATCTCCCTTTCTTATTGCAGTTGTTATGTAAGTCATTAAAGTTGAACCTTGGTCCTAATGAAACCAACCAAGCTCAACTGAGTTGTGATTCATTGAATTTCCATTGATTTCAGCATTTACTTTAAGTATAAGCATTATCCCCAAAGTCTACTTTTAGCAAGCTCTATATTCCTGTGTGCACTGTAAAGTTCCCATTGAATTAACAATCAGTTTTGGAACTCTTCTGTAAAAATTGTTACCCTTGTACCAATCTATTTTATCAATATAAGTCTGACATAATGTAAAGCCATACCTGCCTTTATTTTTTCTGGTCCCAGAAGCTAAGCAGGGTCAACCCTAGTTCAAGCTTGGATGGGAGGCGGTCTCAGAACCCCAGTATTATCTGCTAGATAGAGAAGTCAAAAATCCTAGAAGAAACCAATGGCACAACTTCCATCGCATTGGCAAGAAAAATGCATGGAAACAGTTTTCAAGAGTTAAGCTCATCTCAAAGACATTGTCCAGCTAGGTGATAGCATCTAGTTTTCCTTGGCTGATATCAAGAAGTTAAGCAGGAATGGGGATTAAGAAGCTAAGCGGGAATGGGGGATTATGAGGAAATTCCAGGGCTGTAGGTTAGACTGGGCACTTGAAAGATATCTGTGGTTGTCATCATGTCTTACCTGTGAAGGCAAGAGACACAATACCCAGCAAAAGGAGGGATTAGAAGTGAGAACTTTGTTCTATATTTCATAAACATAAGGGAAAAATGGATAAAGTTATTAATGTCCCTGACCTGGATTCATAGTATCTCTTGTACCAGATTGTTTTGACTATTTATTTCAAATTAGCCCTTTAATTCAACAATCCATAGATTATACAATTTGTAACAATGACACTGAGTTCAAGACGGACCTGCGTGGACACCAATTCCTCTTGTGTCTCCACCAGGAAAGTTTTCCTGCTGGATTAGCATGAACTTGTGCAGAGACCTGTCCTGAATGTCTTACCACCAACTTTCCCATTGCAGCCTTCATCTCCTTATTCTTCAGAGCATAGATAGCAGGATTGAGAAAAGGGGTAACTGTTGTATAGAAGATGGAGATCACTTTGTCAAAGATGAAACGGGCATGTGGGCGCAAGTAAATGAATATGCAAGGTCCAAAGTACATGGTGAGCACTATGAGGTGTGAAGTACATGTGGAGAAAGCCTTAGAGGACCCCTCAGAGGGGTGTCTGGAACGAACTGTGTACATTATGAGTCCATAGGAGACAAGCAATGCCACAAAGCACACCAATGATAAGATGCCACTGTTGGTCACCATCATGACCTCTAAGGGATACGGGTCCACACAAGCTAACCTGATGACCAAGGGGATATCGCAGAAGAAGTTGTCTATCTGATTGGGTCCACAGAATGGCAAATTTACAGTGAAGCTCAACTGCACACTGGTGTGGAGGAGCCCACCAGCCCAAGAGGCTGCCACAAACCCCATGCAGTGGCACCGGCTCATGAATGAGGTATAGTGGAGAGGGTGACAGATGGCCACGTATCGATCATAGGCCATAGCTGTTAGCAAAAGCATTTCACTGCCTGAAAAGAGGTGAAGGAAGAAGATTTGTGTCATGCAGCTCGGGAAGGAGATGGCTTGATGCTGGGTAAGGAAACCAAGGAGAGCCCTGGGGGTTGCAAAGGAAGCCAGGCAGATATCTAGGAAAGCCAGATGACTCAACAGAAAGAACATGGGTGAGTTGAAAAGGTGGTGATTCTTTGAAATCACCAGGAGGATGAGGAAGTTGCTGAACAGCGTTACTGCATAAAGCAGGAAGAAGAAGATAAACAAGAACAGCTGCATTTCCCAAGATGGAGAGAGGCCCAGCAAAACAAATTCAGTCACCGTAGTCTTGTTTCTCCATGCCATTCGCTTCTTACCTATCAATGAGAAAATTGGCAGGGGAAAACAGACTATGAACAAGCCACTTCCATCATAGATGAAGTCAAGTTAAGGTTGATTTGTGGATCAGCTGCCTTCTTATCTAGTGATCCAGATGTTATTCATCCTATCAGCTCTATTCAAAACAACGTGGATTCTGCACTCTGTGCAAAGGTTCGTCTACATGGAGAAACAGGCCATTCTCCAAAATACATATTTTTTTGGTCTGTGTATGTGTATTCAGAAAAAACATTTTAACCTTTCTGCAGCTGAGTTGAAGAGAGTAAGCAGAAATTAAACAACTCATAGTTATCCTATGTTCCAGCATAGTGTTATATATAGCTAACTCATGACTTTTGTTAATAGCCTATTTATATAAAATTATCTCTCTCTCAACATTTAAAGTAACCCATGATAGCCCATAGAACCTCACATTCAAAGATAATATACTACTAATGATTAGTTTAAAAAAATAAAATAAAACCAAATAACAATAGGCTTTGGCAATTTCTGGATTTGTGGACTTGAATCCCAGAATTCCCCAGCCAGCATAGGTTTTGCTGAGAATTCTGAGAGCTGAAACCCACATATCTGAAAGTTGGAAACATGGGCTAAATAACACCACCATCTCCTAATTCTGGGACCTTCAGCAATGCTTGGCCACTGGCAGAAGATAGAACATTAAATTAAATAATTTAATTCAGAAGCTCTTTGGCTGTCCTTAGTAAAGGTCTCCTGGTTTCTAGCCTGATGCCTTCACCACTACACCAAACTAGCTCTCTACTTAGCCATATAGCCCAGATCTTTGTACTCACACATAAAACTACTCCTCAGAAAACATTCACATCATCTCGTCCCTGATCATTTTAAGTAGAGATGCTGAGGTTTTAATTGGGGCACATGACATGCAAAGCCAGTGATTTACAATTGGGCTAGACTTCTTCCAGATGGAAAATTACATGTGAACAGTATAATTGAGTCCTGACTACTCTTGAAAAAGCTACTAAAAAAAAGGTTGATAACTAAGGTTTGAGAGCAATGTTGGGTCATTTGCAACTTGTTATACTTCACCCAAGCCCAGATGTTAAATTATGTTCATCTCAGAGCTACTGTAAAAAGTAGAGAGCGAATTAATAATTAATGATTAATTGTGTTCTTCTGGAATCCAGAAATTATTTTTTTTCCTTTGTGCATCTGCTTTTGTATCTCTCTCTCTCTTTCTTCATCTCCATTTCTCTCTAGTTCTACAGAGTTCAGATATTATTCATTATGTGGTTATTTCAAGCATTTACAGTAGCTTGCACTCCAGCTGGAAGGTCATCCAGAATGGCTTACAGAGCAATCAAAACATTTTCCTTGTTCTCAAGGTTACAGTCAGAAAAGGCATAACCCAAAAAGTAAAGGAGGATGAAGGAAGAAAAGGAAAACAAAAATCGATGGCTGATGTGGGTCTTCCGGGCTGTGTGGCCGTGTTCTAGAAGTTTTGGTTCCTAACGTTTCGCTAGCATCTGTGACCGGCGTCTTCGTGTCTGTGCTCCTGTCCTCTGAAGATGCCGGTCAAAGATGCTGGCGAAACGTTAGGAACCAAAACTTCCAGAACAGGGGCATACAGCTAGGAAGACTCACATCAGCCATCATATTCCGGCCGTGAAAGCCTACGACAATACATAAAACAAAAATCCTCAGCAAGCAATTCTAAATATTACATGGATCTTGCAGGTTCAAGGAAGATGTGGACATGCAACGTAATCTTATGCTTGTCTTTTGCTGGAAGTGGGACGGTCCCTTCACCTCATTCCAAATTTTTACCCACCTGCAAACACCAACAGAAGTTCTTTGAGGTTTGCTGTAGCAACTTCTGCCAAAACTCTGCTCAGCACCAGATGGAACTGCTCAAAGTCCTTCTCTTTAAGCATGATATGAAATGATATACCTGTAAAGTAGCACAATGAATTGAGGAAGAGCAAATCAGGAGGGAACAGAACCAAAAAAGAACTGCTAATAATTCTGGAAGCAGAAACAGACAGCCATTCCTTGGTGCTTTTTCTTCTCCAAGGGAGTTAGTTAAAAAGTATATCTTGGCAACCAAGGAGAACATGGTGCAGCTATTCTCAAAAGTAATCAAGGTATTCTCAAGGTTTGGTTTCTCTTTTGACATAATGTGTGTGTGTGTGTGTGTGTGTAGGTAGGGGGATGGTGGTGGTGGAAAATGGCAGATGTGTAAGTCCGCCCTGGACATGTAAGAGTCAGTGTTGTATAGTAGTTAAGGTGTTGGACTAGGATGGGGAGACCCAGGTTCTAGTCCTCCTTTAGGTATGGAAGT